TGGTATAATATTCGGTTTGGCAAAAGAGGAATTTGAAGGGTCCTTCGTAAGCCGTTTCGTGTGGTCGTTGTAATAGATTGTGACATACAAAAACATGTGTATTATGTTGTAGGATAGGTTGAACGAGATTATCATTTGACTACTGCTGGATGGAAACAGGTTTAACTAAACACATGGCCTTTGTAATCTTGATCCTGTAAGAGTGTAGATTTATATGCATTGATTCATGAATGCTTTCAGAAGTCCGAGTGCTGCAATTTATCCAGCCTCAGCTTTCACGGGATTGCTAATGAGAAGTAAAGCCAATGGAAGAGCGTCAGTCCGCTGTGAAACGTTTGCATCCGAGAGTGAAGCTTTAAGCTGCCCATAAAAGCGTTGGGCGTCCTTTTAGAATCGTGCGATTCCCTATAATGTAGTCAGACAACGGAAAAGTGCAGATTCAAACTGCCGTCTACGGTTTGTATTGATAGTTGAAAGACATCTGAAGTTTGCTACCGATCGTTCGACGATAGCGTGTGTGACTTTTCCAAGAGTAATGTCCCTGCTGGGTACCGCTTCTGGCCACTGGGTGAAATAGTCTAAATAAATTGAGGTAAGTGTATCCAGTTGAATCTGGTATGGCGATCCTTTGGAAACTGTTTAAGGATGTTATACTAGGCAAGGCGTCTGTTACCACACCGTTCACCTCAGAAATGTTTTGTACGTCTGGAGTAAACTACGAGGTGCAGTTCAGTTGTCGAGATTCTTGAAAGAAATACCCGTCTGAAGATGAGCTTGCAGGGAAAGTAAAAGGTTTGTGGTTGGTAAACAGACTGAATTCTCGTCCTTTCACAAAGTGTCTGAGGTACCGCACAGCACAACACGTGGATAGGAGTTCTCTGCTGAGGGTTTCATACCCCAATTTGGAGTATTGCAACTGTCACAAGAAGAGCTCCAAGGGTTTTCAGGTGTTACCAGGCCGTTTAACATGCGTAATTACATAACTGGGGTCGATTGTGGGTAATCCACATTGGCCGCCACTTTTTTGCAGAGGAAAAACAGTTTGAGCGTTCGTAGTGGAATCGAGCCCTAAAGAAACAATCCTCAAAGTTGAACGCGAAACGACTGGAGTAGATGTTCAACGCTTAATGCGGAGAATAACCCAAAATAAAGAAGGCGGGAAGGATTATTCAAATTAATGACGAAGTAGACCATAATTCTACACGTCCACAGTATGTCCGATAAAGTCAAGGGAGTCTGTTTCAAACTGACACTTCTGAATGTTTGCACTAATACCGCGTTTTCAGTTGATTGAAAACAAGGTCCAGATGCCGGAAACTAGATTCTCTGTCGGGACATGTTATCAAGCAGTCATCCACAGATGCAAGTACGAAGTTGAAACCCTTGAATACATCATCGATGAATCTTTGAAAACTCTGTGTATCATTCCATAAGTCAGTAAGGTAAGCGTGAATATTTGTTGAGTCTTAGGTAGAAGGATGTATAACCGTCTTAGGAGTGTCGTCCGCAGCCGTGAGAGTTTGGTCATACGCGTTAGCCAGATGGACTTATGAGGAAGCTGTTGTAACTTCCCAGGTTTCTGTCAGGTTATGGATGCATGGTAAGGGGTAGCGGTCAGGAGTGGGAGAAAGAGATGTCCATGAGGCGTTCGACGACCGGACCATCCCCAAGTTCATCATGCGCTCGAATTAGTTTTTGGTTTTTCTCAGCTCTTCAGGAGCTGGTTGGTGCGCCTTCAAAAATACAGGTGGGCCTTTAGTAACGACACTGTGTGTAATATCGCAGGTCGCCCACAGCAGCTCCGGTAGTGTCTTGTGAATTTCTGGCTACGTGTGAAATGTCTGTTGGAAGTGTTGATCAATCTTTTGTTTGACGGGAACTAGGCCTAACCTACAGCCAGAAGATGAAGTTTCAGATGCAGAAAATTTAGTATTTCCCTCCATGGACCTCCGTTTTCTGGGGTTGGTGAGTAGACCGCAGTGTTGAAACAGGTCTGTATCATTCAATAGCATAAGAACATCTGCAACAACGAAAATCCAGTAAATGGGTCTGCGTAAATCCATGTTAGGATAAACACAACACTTATCGGATATGGCAACCACTTTTTAATTTACCCCATTTAAGTTTTAAAACCGGTCCATGAAGACAGTCGTTAGAATTCGTGGGAAGGACGCCTACTTCTGAATCAGTGTCGACAAGGCAGCGAAGTTTTGTCATCATATCAGTGATGTATAACAGGCGGCTATGTCCACCGGTTGCGTACGCCTTTATTGTGTACCGAAGGGTTTGAGTTTTGGAAAACTGCAGGGTCTCCTGCAATTTCTAGAAAACCTACCATACTTGATGTGGTATTATCATCAATCAAGAGCGTTTTTTATTTCGTAGTCTGGGAGCACATCTCTATCGTGATGATGTTCCTCGAGGAGTTCGAGAGGGTCAACGACTACGGTCAGTGTTATGACAACTACTGAGTGTCATAGAAATACGCAATGTTATTTTGTGTCGTTTGGGGATTTCCTTTGACAGAACAAACTTCGATGCAATAGGGGGTTCTGCTGATCTCCAGATGCAGCCAGTTTGTTTGCAACGTTATTTTGAAATGAGTCGAGAAGTGTTTCTGCCTGTCGGGTGAGACTTACTTATGAGTAATTGTCTAAGAGTGCCTTTGTCTATAGTCCGTTGACCAATGACCTTCTGCGTACGCAACGACATCTCTGTCACTGAGCCATGTTGCGATTGTACATTGAGGAAAAGCTGGTCCAACCTTAGTCGGTTAGGTTTCACCGACCGAGGATCACCCTCTTTAAAGTATCGTGATGTATCTAGGTATTACTGCTTATTATTAATCTAACATCTTTCGATTCACTTTGAATTTTGATAAACATCCTTTCTTACTCCAATTTAGAATTATATTTCAACATTTGAACCCATTCCACCATGTTACATATTAGAACTCATTGTTCTTCGTTACTGTTTTCTTCTACATGAAGGCTATAATGATATTTCACTCTAGAATAGCAACTAGTATGAGCTTCATCTGCTAATCTATCCTATCTTTGTTCTGCTACAAACTGTTAGGCATTTTTTGGAGTTTGATTTCAAATGCCTTGCAGAATAGCTGTGTCAATTCGATATTAGTACATTTACTACTATCTCGAAATTGTAGATTTGCTATGATCCCACTATCTAATTTATAAGATCTTACGTAGAAGTCACATCATAGTCTAACCTGACTCGTCCTACGTTACATTCAACAATATGATGTCTAACCCTTTTGAAGGACAACATTTGGGCCGGGAGGAGAGTAATATATTCAACATAAAAAGGAAGAGGTCACGTGGGGTGACCACACCTGCAAGACGGAGTCATGCCACCCTAGTCAATTCTTCTCGTGTTCATCATCGTTGACCTTCTCTCCGTGTTAAATGTTGAATGGGAATTCTCTCGTTTATCTCATGTTCAGCTTGGAGCATAGTGTGGTTGGAACCAACACCACTACATTACCCATCCATCCGAATCAAGGTGATGTTGGTTCGATGCTAAATCGAGTAGGATTGTTGCGTGTCAGAGGTTATCAAAGGAATAATAAGAGTCCTCCAGGTATTAACAAATTCAGAGATAAATCAAAAAGATGGCAGCAACTGATCGAGAAATACGTGTTAAAATTCCAGAATGTTTGGTTTTATGCCAAACACGCTTAAAATGAAAATCTACGTGAACATTAATCAAACGTCAAGTAAAGAGGGATCATAATAATGAATGATGACTTAGTGTAGAGGTATTTTAGCAAGTCACATTACGATGCAAAAGAGTAACCGTCGGTTAGACACTTAATTTATGAGCAGTACAAGAATCCTGTACTCATGAACAAAAAATCAACATTGTAGAGATAATAATGCTGGTACTTACTTTGGTTCAAGTCAGAAAGCCAATGTTCGTGTTAATATGCTGTCAATATGAGTTGATTTCGGATCACATTGGCTTTTGTTGGGCAAAACATATTAGTGGGTGAAAAAATCTGAGAGTACAGATTTATCAAAATATGTAAATATGAGTGATATATACTGTTACAACAAGGAATAGACTCACAGTAAATTATCTAATACACCGCCGAAATGTCAATAGTTTGAAAACGCTTGTTCGGTAACACCTTTGTAATCAGAGGATACCGACTCAGTCAAATCAGAAGTCACAAATGATAAAGTTCTAAGATACATTTTCAAATTTGTCGACATTGCAATAAGCGTTTGGTCTAAGCTAGCTAGTAGTCACAAGGGATGCGTAGCATAGCGTACCCACTCATGAAATGGTGTGGATGCTTGACCGATTGCCTTCAGTTAAGACATTTCCAGTAAATTAATGTGGCCAGCAACATTGTCGATGACTTTCTGAACTATATAGTTTTGGGATATACTTGCCTGTACGTAAGTATCCGAGATAATCACATATGGGGAAATCAGTGTGGAATGTTAACCTAAATAGTAATTATATTAGAGGTCTGATATCACGGCAGCTAGCACGTGGGAACGAGAATTGTATGTGCAGAAGTGTGTTTATGAGGAATAATCAGTAATTCATGAGAGCAGAGGACAAAGTAGTTACGGAGTTCATGGTCAATTTTAAACGACATTTTTGGAGCCGGTAACAGTAAATGTGCAAATTATTTGAAACTATGAGAAACGGGAACATTGTTAAAGATTGTTTACAAATTAGGTTTCTGTTAACAACTCAGAATTTAGGAAGTAGCTAGTGTAGCTTAAAAGATGAGCCTTTTATTACTGGAAGAGCTGACGTGTATGCTCAACAGTGTGGTTTAAGCTAGTTTTATCCAATGAAATTATTATTTCCGAAGAGAATACCCATTCATTATTTCTTATGTACTGTCTCGCTCATGTCTTGCTAATGAGTAATGCTTTGCTGCTTAAAGCTCCTGAGGAATCGATATCATAATTTGTATATTTCAACCACGAAGAACCATGTTCCACTATTTCGAAGCTATGATTTTGTCTTGAGCGCGTGTTTTCAAATTGTTCGTCACAGAAATGGATGAACTCAGTTGGGGTGTTGAACTTTGGGTACGTAGACTTTTTACTAGTTAAATTAGTTCCTTGCGAACCGTATAATCACTCCCATGTATTCAGTCACACTTATGGTTTGCGCTTATTGCGTACATCTATGCGGTTTACATATCGGTGAGACAATTATTTACTGGAGTGTGTTTGGTAGTAGACTCTTGCTTTTAGGAAAGTCACCAACAGCACACGATATTACTAAATAAGTTAGTAGCAATCATGTTGGCTAACGCAAAAACTGAGATCTAGTTCGTGTTGTTATCAAGCTTATAATCTTGGTAATCCTAAATTTAGGATTAACGAAGATACTTAATCTAACAGATTTTGAAAGCTATGGAAAATTGTGATAACTTTAGGTTGCTGCGCATAATAATACCTCTGCGACAACCTATTTAGTTCATTCAGTTGTGAACTTCGTCTACTGGTGAGAAGACCGTATGCATTATGAATTCAGAACTTCTGAGCCTTTATCAAACCTTAACAAGTTTTTTAATCATGTAAAAGAAGAATATTCACTGTAATTCATTACTTTCTTGTAATATATTTTTACTTTATACTGTCTTCTGATTGACTAATAATTGAAATTGCTCAAACGCTTCTGATTGGCTCGTCCCTAAATTAGAGTCTCGCCGACCCTTTTTGTTCTTAGTAAAAATGCTACACACTGAATGTTTTAACCACAGGATAACCAATATTTTGGTTTAGCTCTTTTTTAGTTGGGCTTGTAAGTTTGTGTTTAAACTGAGCCACTTGCACTGTTTCATACTGGCAATATTTAGTTGTAAAGCCCCCAGTTTTGACTTCTTACGAATCATTTCCTAGGTTTTCAGTGAGTCGTAACACAGTCTAGTGTTTTATTTATTTAAGTGGACCCAAATCTTCAGATTATTTTTTGTGCACATCATTCCTATTGCTTCTATTATCTAGCTTCAGTCAGTCAACAGTCGTCTATGTGCTGTTCGGTTAAATGGCTCCGTAAGAACTCGGAAGGATAGGGATACACGTCGTTGCCTTTTCGTCGTTTCTGCCTACGCTCCCACTGACTGCAGCTCAGATGATGTGAAAGACGAATTTTACAGAAAGCTTTCTGAACTTCTTCAGAAAGCTAAACGCTCAGACATAGTACTCGTAGGGGGTGACTTTAATGCTCAGATAGGTAGCTTAAACCAAATAGAAAGGCATTTAGGTGGATATTTTAGCACTCCGGCACAGCGAACAGATAATGGTGACCGTCTGCTGCAACTGTGCTCAGACAATCGCTTATTTTTAGCAAACACAAATTTTAAGCATAAGGAGAGACATCGTCTAACATGGCGACCCCCTACACCAAACCAACGATGGACTCAAATAGACTATATTGCCATCAGTCACCGTTGGAGAGGGTCGGTACAAGATTGTCGCTCATTCTGGAGTACCTGCTTGGACTCCGACCACGCCCTAATACGGGCACGCATCTGCTTGCGCCTCACTGGACGCAAAAAAGCCACAGTAAAAAGACCCATTCGAACCGAACTGAGTAGCGAGGAAACCAAAAGTAGGTTCCAGGAACAACTGAGGTCACGATTAGGTAGTTCTGAAGACGAGGTTGACCCAGTTGTTGCTTGGAAAGCCATACAAACAGCTGTGGAAACAGCAGTGACATCTATTAGCGACTTAAACCACAGGGTTACAAAGAACCATTGGATTTCTTCAAAGTCTATCACACTGATGGATTCTCGCAAACTCGTCCCATCAGGTTCCGAACATGATGAAGAGCGACAACAAATCAGATCTAGGTTAAGAAAAAGTCTAAGAAACGACCGTGAGCAGTGGTGGGCAATGAAAGCAAAAGAGATGGAAAAGGCGGCGACTATAGGGAACACAAGTCAGCTTTACAGACTAATAAAAGAAACTGGAATTAATAAGTCAAGTGCAAGTCAGACTATTTCGGAAAAAGATGACACCCTTATCTGCTGTTAGTCCAGACGTTTAGAACGATGGGCGGAACATTTCAGAGAACAGTTCAACTGGCCTTCAGCTACTCTACAACTACCCTCCATTCCCAGACAGTGTGAATGGAACATTGAAGTAGGTCTCCCAACTCCTGCTGAAGTTCAAAAAGCTATAGTTAATCTGAAACGAGGAAGGGCAGCTGGTCCAGATGGACTGGCTCCAGAGGTCTTTAAGGATGGTGGTCCAATTTTAGCGATTAGGTTGACTAATATTTTAGCTAGGATCTGGGAGTTAGACGTTATCCCATCTAACTGGTCACAATCACTTATCGTCCCAATATATAAGAAAGGGTCAAAATCATCTTGTGACAACCACAGAGGGATTAGTTTAACTAACATAGTATCTAAAATACTAGCCTCGATAATTATCAGACGCTTAACTAAGACTCGTGAACTGCAAACACGAGAGACTCAAGCTGGCTTCAGACCTGGTCGTGGCTGCATCGACCACATATTCACCATTCGTCAGGTTCTAGAACACAGGCATACTTATCGGCGTCCGACAATGGTGGTCTTTCTCGACTTAAAAGCAGCATTTGACTCTGTAGACATCAAGATTCTGTGGCAGTGTCTGTCATTGAAAGGCGTACCACAGAAGTACATAAACCTTGTGAAGGCTCTTTACTCGAACACTAGTCGAGTGAGAGCTTATGGCGAACTGTCATCTACTTTTGCAACCTCAAGTGGTGTCCGTCAAGGCTGTCCACTTTCCCCATTTTTGTTTAACTTCATCATAGATCTACTGATGGAAATAACTTTCTCGTCGACTGAGTTCTCGGGTATTGATCTCCATCCAGGAGGTCCACTTATCGACTTAGAATACGCAGATGACATAGTCGTGTTTGGTGAAGACGCTGACAAGATGCACAGTCTTTTGGTAGCACTAAGCAACAATGCCAGAATGTTTTGGAATGCGCTTCTCTCTCTTTAAATGCAAGTTGTTGCTTCAGGACTGGTCTGCGTCAACACCTGAACTAAGGATAGGGAGTGAAGTAGTCGGACGCGTTGACAATTTCACTTATCTTGGAAGTCTGATCAGCCCTAATGGGTTGGTATCTGACGAAATCTCTGCGCGGATTCGAAAAGCTCGCTTGGCTTTTGCCAACTTGCGTCACCTTTGGCGAAGGCGAGATATCCGTCTATCAATGAAAGGATGAGTATATTGCGCGGCAGTCCGTTCTGTTTTACTTTACGGCAGCGAAACATGGCCACTAAGAGTAGAAGACACTCGTAAGTTATTAGTATTTGACCGCAGATGCCTTAGAATTATTGCTGGCATCTGCTGGGATCACCGGGTAAGTAATAGTGAGGTTAGACGCAGGGTATTAGGGAATGATGGTAAATCAGTTGATGAGGTTATGAATCTTCATCGACTGAAATGGTTGGGCCACGTGTTACGTATGCCTGAACACCGATTACCGCGACCTGCAATGCTATCCGGTATTGGACATGGTTGGAAGAAAGTTAGGGGCGGCCAAACCAAAACGTGGCATCAGTGCTTGAAGACACTAACTTCTAGTCTGAGCCATGTTGGTAGATGCAGACTACTTGGTTGGGGTCCGCGTGACTATCGTAACCGATGGTTGGAGACTCTTGGTGACATGGCTCAGAATCGATCACAATGGCGTCGGTGTATTCACTCCCTGTCTTCCCTTAAACTAAGAGATTAAAATCACTTCATATCTTTCTTTCTACGAACCAATTCTTTCTTCTTGTACTATATGCAATTTTTCTCTTATATATTACCACCTTTGACCTAACCACTGCTATGAATCCGGTGTTCATCTCGTTGTGCTGATGCGGTATGGCAACCTGGACCGATGCACATATGCGCCTGGTCCTACGTTGTAGCTGACTGACTGACAGACTTTCTCTGAGATTGTTGCGCTAACGGTCGGGTTCCTAATTCCGGTTTCCTTAACGAGTCTGAACAATTGTCTGCTATTACCTATTGCCGCTGCCTTTTCCATCTCTCTTGCTTTCGCTACCCACCACTGTTCGCGATCATTGCGTAGACTTCTTGTCAGCTTGCGCTTAAGCTGACTCCGCTCTTCATTATGTTCAGAGTCAGGTGGAATGAGTTTCAGAGCATCTATCAGTGCGATAGATGCTGCTGAGATCCAGTGTTGCTCCCTAACCTTCTGGTTTACCTTACTAGCAGATATCACTGCTGTTTCCACAGCTTTTCGGATATCATTCCATGCTGCATCGGGGTGGGCATCACATACATGGATGCCTAACTGTTTTCCTAGTTGTTCCTGAAATATACTCTTAGCTGGACTATCATTAAGTAGGCCCCTAAGAGTTTTCCTTGCAGCGTCTTTCCTACGTCCAGTAGGGCGCAAGCAAATACGCGCTCGCACTAGAGCATGATCTGAATCTAGGCATGTGCTCCAGAATGAGCGAAAGTCTTCTATCGAGCCCCTCCATCGGTGGCTGATAGTGATGTGATCTATTTGGGTCCAACGTTGGGACGAATTAGGAGGTCGCCATGTTAAAAGATGTTTTTCCTTATGCTTAAAGTTAGTATTTGCAAGGAACAGGCGGTTATCTGAGCATAGCTGCAACAGACGATCGCCATTATCTGTTCTTTGAGCCACGACACCATAAGATCCACCTAGGTGTCTTTCCCTATCGCTTAGTTTACCTACTTGAGCATTAAAGTCACCGGCCACTATTACTACATCCGAGCGCCTAGCTTTTCGGAGAAGGTCGGAGAGCTTTCTGTAAAACTCATCTTTTACATCATCTGCGCAGCAGTCTGTGGGAGAGTAGGCAGAAACGACGAAGAGGCAACGATGAGTGTCCCTATCTTTCCGGATTCTTACTGTTCCGTTCAGTCGGACAGCGCACAAACGACTGTCTACTGGGATCCAGTCTAAGAGAGCTAGTTCTGCCCTAGGACTCAATGCTATACCTACGCCGGCGAGGCCACGGGAAGCAGAATCAGGGCTTCCAGATACACGAAGCGTAAATCGAGTCGGTTCTTTATTTTGGCATGGTGAGGTCAGA